TAGTTTAACCTTTGGGTCAAATGTATTAATATTTAATGTCATAAATAAATAATATAAATTAATAAAATATAAAAATACAAAAATGAAAAAAAAAACATAAATGTTGCAAAAAACACATTCAGGCACAAGTATGATATTAATTAGTTATCATATTAAACAAAAAGTGATAAACTTTTTTAAACCTATAAAGTCATAGTTAGGTAAAAAATTTTTTTAAATAGAAATAAATATAGAAAATTACAAAAATGTAGAAAAAATTAGACACATTTATTATAGTTTTATTAATCAAATTAAAAAAGTGTAATACAAAGAATTATATTAATAATGAAAATGAAATACATACTTCAAAACTAACAAAAAATGAAATTATTTTACTATTTGGCTAAGATCAATAGTTTAACCTTTGGTCAAATGTATTAATATTTAATGTCATAAATAAATAATATAAATTAATAAAATATAAAAATACAAAAATGAAAAAAAAAAACATAAATGTTGCAAAAAACACATTCAGGCACAAGTATAATATTAATTAATTATCATATTAAACAAAAAGTAAGTGTGACATATTGGAATTAATTTTACACCAAAATATAAAACAAATATAAAAAAATTGAAATATCTATAATTCTATATTTACACTACTTTAAAAATATAAATAAAGTTGTAGAACTTTCTTTTGACTAAAATCAATGTTTTAAAAACCGACCCAAAAATGGAACCGCTTTGGCTTCCGGTTTCCGAGTCGGTGGTTCAACCGTCGCTACAACACCGCTTACTCTCTTCTTACATCTTTCTCATCTCTCTAAATCTTTATCAAATTCTAGATCATTTGATTCATTGGTGTATGTTAGATTTTAATATAAGATCGGTGTTTGATCTCTTATCTCTTGCATCAAATTTTCAATTTCTTTATTGGAGTTGCAATTTTTTTAATTGTTACAACTTAAAAAGGAGAAAATTCAAAATCAAAATAGAATAATTAAAAACCCTAACTAATTTTGGCATTGGGAATAATTGAACAAGATTTCGAGATATGAAAGTTTCTTTTATCATTTTTTTTATTTTTAAAATAAATAACAAATTTGCAATTAGTTTGAAAGAAACCCGAGAACCATTAACTAGGTCGAACATTTTAACTGTTAAACTGTTCGAATCAATAGTTATCTGACCATTTCAATGGTTTTCTTCTTCTTTTTTTTTTTGTAAAATAATAGTTTAGGGCCAAAACGGAAATGGTGACTTAACCAATTCTTGGGCCAAAATGGTTCAACCATCTATTCTGGTCTGATTTTTAAAATATTGAATAAAATACTCATTTTTAATTTAGCTCATATTTAATTGTAAGGTTTAAATTGAATAAAATACTCATTTTTAATTTAGCTTCTATATATAAAAGTGTAGATGCATGGTAGAAATTTTTTGGACTAAAATTACCCTCTATTTTTTTGTTTGACAAAGGGTATAAAAGTTATTTTATTACAGCTTTAATGCCAAATTTTGATGGCTACTAAAGTGCCCATATTTGTATATTTATGACATCTATAATTGTAAGTGTTGAAAATGTAATTTCAATTATTACTTTCCACCTCATTGAATCCCCTTTCATTAAGTTTATACTTAAAGGTATTAACTCCCATTTTCTCTTATTAAATCCTATATTTAAATTATTTTTCACCAATAAATAGTACTAGGTAGATCTATATTAATATTTTTAATAATATAAACCCATATATTTTAAGAGTAGCTAAAAAACAAAAACAATCTTTATCCAAGTGATGACTAAGAAATTCAACTATTCAAATCAAATTGATAAACCTATGAAGTGGTAGTTAGGTAATAAAATTTTTAAAATAAAAATAAATATAAAAAATAAAAAAAATGTAAAAAGTTAGACACATTTATTATACTTTTATTAATCAAATTAATAAAGAAAAATTGTCTAAAATTCACAATGACTTTTCAACATTTTTCTTTAACCCGGCATAACTTTTCAAAATGTCCAGAGAACCTCATGTCATTAATTTTTCTTAAATAGACTAATGGGTGTTACTAGATTATCATTTTATCCTTTATAGAAAAATGTAAAATATACACACATATATTTTAACTAAAAAGACAAAAAAAAGGAAAAAGTTCAAAAAATATTTTCAAATATAAAATACATAAAATCACATAAATTGCAAAAAATATTGAAAACTATAAAAATTGCAAACAAACTAAAAAATATTTTTAAATTATAGAAACTATGTACAAAAATTAGAAAACAAAATAAAAAAATAAAAATTGTAAAAAAAAACAAATTAAAATAAAAATATATATTTAAAATAAAAAATAAAAAACATATAAAAAATGTAAACTTTTTTTAATATATTATTACTATTATTATCTTCATCTATAATAACCATGTACATTTACTAATAAAACCAAAAAATGCAAATTCTATCTATTTGTATTGCTTACAACTCTTCCCGGGGATGCTTCGAGGTGAATTACTCATTTCTCCCATTCTGTCATGATTAAGGAAATAGTTGAAACTTGAAACTAAGGGTCGTTTCATAGCGCTTGAGGCGGGTGAAGTAATTAATTTTTTTAGGAATTAATTAATTTATTAATTTGTCTTTTTAGCGGATAAAATAATTAACTAATAAAATATTTAAGAGCATAGTAATCAATAAATTCAGCTTCAGCCATTAATGAGCTAGAGTTGGGATTTTCTGCCAACAAAACACGTTCCAACCTCCTTAAAAACTTCTCCACAAAATGCCCAAGTAAGGTTTTCTGTTTGTTCAGCCACTTCAGCTGGTACCAAACGGCCTCTAAAGTCTAAAGCCTTCGCTTCCAATATTATTTCTCCTTTACCCACCACACACACACACACACAAAACATTAGATATTGGCATCACCATTAGTTACAAGTTTCAAAACTACCCAACTGATTGAAAGCTGAGACTATCTTAGCATCTCCATTACTAGCAATGAAAAACCATCCCATTTATTAGAAAGCTGCAACAAACATCATAATTGTTTCAGCTTTCAGTGTAGGAGATCGAGTAACATCCAAAACATATACTTCATTCGAGTATAGGACTGTTGATTACTCCAGTCACTGGAACAGCTTCTATATATAACAGATTCAACAGATTCCCAACAAGTTCCATGGATCTCTCTCGTCTAGTTTGATCTAGCCTTGACTGAGAAACGATCATATGTATGGTTCTGACTAAAACAACACCCTATTAGATCTCCCCGACATCCATCTGTACATCAACCATGCACTGACTTATGTGCAGAGTGCTCCCAACAAAACTACAGTACCCACAGAGAGCGAGAAAGAGAGAGAGAGAGAGAGAGGTATTCGTTCTCTCTTGTTACATGACTGATTCCTGAATAGGAGAGGAAGACGGACCATCAACAGAAGGAGAGGTAGTATGGAGGTTTCTTGGGATCTTCCCAGTCTTCTTGGCCTCCAATTTGGATCCTGTTCCTGGCTGTCGTACCTTCACTCCTCGTATCAGCTGTTTGTTGATTTAACTACTTGTTACTATAAACATATAAGGAATTAAACCAAATAGAGATTCAAAATGGGATTAATTGTACAGAACATACGTATTTGCCACATTTGGTATCTGAGTAGATTACTATGAAATCCCCTTCCTGGAGTCCATTAGAACGGACAAAATCTCCTGCAACAAGAATAAAACAAATTAGAAGAAATATAAACATTAATTAGAGTGAACACATAAGAGAATTGAATATGAGCAAAAGCCCACCTGTGTTCTCCAGGAGATACATTCTACTCTTGTTGTTAGGCCAGAACCTGAAAATAAAAAAAAAATTAATGTAAATTAACCAAGTTTATAACCTTAGATTCTTTTTTTCTTGGGGAAGGAGGAATTACAGAAAAAAAGGGTTCTGATCTGTCTCTGCTCGTAATACCTGTAACGCATGTTCCAAACCCGAGAAGTTCCAATGTCCTCCATTGCGATGGAGATGCCATCTCTGGCCTCAAGCTCCGGTAGATGGGTCTCTGCTTCTTTCTGATCAAATGGGATCATTAGTCAATTAAAAGTATGAAAGAGGGATGGGGGAGGGAGGAGGAAGGAGAAAGCTAAGTGACCACCTTCGGCAAAACTATTCTTCCCAGATTACCCACATCGCTTTGTTTCAAAACTTTCTGCAGCAAAAACCTCAAGTTCTTCTCGGGTTTCCATCCCTGTCCAAAACCAATAACATGCATTCTTTACAACTCAAGTTCAGCAAGTGCCACCTTTAAATTCAATTAAATAACACAATTAAACAATTAACTGATCAAGAACCAACACGCCAGAGGAGATCGCCACCTGACGCCTGTCCGAAGTGATCTGCCGCTGATAGTTCTGTGGTTGCATGGGCGGCCGGTCTGCAGATTGTGGTGGTGCTTCTGGCAACAGATGTGCTGGAGAAACAGTGGGCACAGAAGCAGAAGATGACCAGAACATCCAATTCTCCGGATTGGTTTGTGCAGTATTGGCGCAATTTCCCTCACTGGGTAGCTTTGCATGCAGGTCAGTATTTGGAGAAGGGTGCTGCTGCTGGTGATTAAGACTGCGATGGTGAGATAAAAACCGCCTCTGCCGAGCCATCCTCTTCTTCCTGGCTTCCTTCGTCGCCGAAGAACCCATTCTGAGTAGCCGATCACTAGACCCTTGAAACGGCTGACATGGGTATTGGTTGGCAAATGGGGCGAACACTTGGTGCGTCGGTGGAGCTGTAGGAAGATGGTGATCGGTAAATGAGTTGTAACGAGGCGATAACGTGAAGTTCGATGAAGGCCAAGTGACAGAAGGGTCCAGCATCCGATAGTCTGTTGGGGGCGAGTAACCATTGATACCTTGGCTGAAGGGACCTCCATTGGCAAAGCCAACCATTGGAGGAAACCCCGCTCCTGTCGCTGTTGGTTCAGGAACGTAGGGAGGCTGAGGAATCCAGGGTGTGGCCGGAGAGAAGCAGGCGGTAGAGTCCGGAGAGATGGGATTACAGCTTAAAATAGGATTAATGTTAGGGTTAGGGTTAGAATTCTGAAACCCAAGCTGGGTCTGTTGGCATGGGAAAGCCGAGTCTTCTCCTCTCATCCGCCTTCTCTGAAGGTGATGGTTCTGCACCCACTCAAGAATGAGTTTCAGCAAACGCTTCATCCCTTCCTTCCCACCACCAAGACGCTGAGCCGCGCAGTCGATGGTCGACCGCTTAAGCTTGATATTCCTCAAGTCCTCAGCGGAGATGGATTCCTTGTTCGACTTGAGCCATTCAAAGAAGAGCTTGGCAAGATCATCCGAAGGCTTCTTGCCTTGGCCTTCCTCATCGTTTGCTTGAGCCATAGCCCGTTCTTCCCCATCATCCCCTTGCATCAGTAACTGTTGTTGTTGCTGTTGCTGCCGCATTTCTTGTTGCTCTTCTTGATCCTCTTCTGGGTTCAGAAAAGGGAAAACTGTGGAGGGATCCCACATTTCGGTGGTATCAAGCAAATCCATATCTCCAAATTCCTCCATAACGTCCATGCAATCAACATCGAAGGAAGGAGGGATCTCCATTGAATCTGCAGACAAAAAGGGTGGCCTTAATGCGTCGACCTGCTCRTGCTGTTGCTGGTGGTCGTCGTTCCTCTCCGCACCCTCTTCAGCATCAGATCTAACAATGGCCCAAGAAGTAGACGAAGATGATGATGACGAAGAAGAAGAAGCCGATGTTGAACACGAAGAAGAAGACGAACATGGGACTGCATGCACGGCAGCCGGCGTATATGACGAAGATTGAGAAGACGATGACGAGACGCATGGAAAATCAGGCAGAGGTGGGAAGTGTCCATAGAAGAACGGATCATCCACATTAAGCATATCTTCAGTCCCTCTATCCAACCAGAAATCCCCATCTTCAGTACCCCCCGCTCCTCCTCCTCCTCCTCCTTCCCTGACCTCCTCCATGTTTCCAAACTGAGGATTTGGATCACCAATGGAGTTCATCCTCTCCAACTCGTCACCCAGTCCTCCATGCAGATCTTCTTCATGCAGTTGCATGTCCATGGTTTCCTTCCAAAACCAGATTAGAGCCTGAAAATCTTTCTGGGTTCTGAAGTCAACAAATAGATTTAAGGATGGAAAGGGACAGATAGAGAAATGGAGATTCCTGTAATGTACGGATTAGCCCTAGAAGAACAAACAATGATCAATACAAATATATTAAAAAGCAAGCTGTATGCGATTCATTAAGGAAGCAAGACAAGAAGGGCCCGCTAATGCCTCTGAAATCCTGAATACAGAAGCAACATAAAGCACCTGTCTCGCTCTATCTCACGCAACAACAACTACTATACACCTACAACAACAACAACAACAAAAGCGACTTGTTTTACTCTATTTTATTACTATTAATCACCAGGTTTATCACAGACAGTTAGAAAGAATAATATATAATACAGTATATACAGAACTAAACAAAATCTTTAGTCCGTTATTAATGGCAGATAATTATATCTTCACCGACCCAAAAATTAAAACCAACCATAACCGGCTGCCGAGGAAACAGAGATCAGATCCCGGCGAGCCAAGCCATATTCTTACACTCTTCTGCACTTCTTCCACAAACCAAACCAGAGATGTGATTCGTCAGTAACTCAAGAACCCATTTACCATGCCTCCTCGAAACTTCTTTTCCTTTACCGTGGGATAGATAATAAGTTCAAATTCAAATCGTCTTTCAGAGAGAGAGAAGAGAGAGAAGAGGCCAAAACAGTAGAAAAAGAAAGCCTCGTGCCGATACTTTCTCAGCCTCTCTCCGGATTGTGCGCCATCCGCCATCCGTTGGCACCTGAATGGTACACACCAGCGGTGCTGCAGAGAATCGATAGGAGAGAGAAAGAGAGATAATATCACCTTCTCTCTCTACCCGTTCGTTGCTTCTAAAATAAAATTAATTAAAAAGTTGGAAGTTGGGACCGACTCACTACCAGGGTTTCACTGGATTTTGCTGGATTCGTCAACCGAACGGCGGGTTCCCTGGGATCTTTATACGTGTCCATGCAACTCTGACGTCGACAAAAGCACTCCCTCCCTAATATGATTTGCCTTCTCTCTCTCCTCTCTCTTTCTCTCTCTCTCTCCATATTCTGTCACCATCTATCAATTCTTCCACAACTACCCCCACTTTTGCTGCATAAATTACCAACATCTCAAGTCTTGTCTTCTACCAATTTATTAGAAGAAAGCTTATCAAGAGTAATTCCCTTATCTCAAGTTTCATGGGTATAAACGTGGCAAACATGCAGAAGATGGGTCCGCCACATAATTGCCTCAATTGGATGGTCTGAACCGTTTGATCCCTTGAATTAATGTGAAGATGATCTTGATGGAAGCCAATGAGGAGAGAGACTGATATCTCGTGCATGAATACGTCTTGTCCACATGGTCTGTTAGGGTTCATCCAGCCTATCATTTGTGGGAAATAAGAGTGGATAGAGAGGGCAGGCAGTGTGAAACTGAAACAGTTTGGAGGTGATGGTCTCTGCTGCTGATGGCTGCATGGTGATAGATCCGAGTAATTAAATTCCTTCCCATATTAGGGGGTTTCAACTTTCAATAGGGTTGGAATTTGGGGCTTTGAATTCCTTTCTTGGAACCCACAAACCAGCACAAATAACTCTCTCTCTCTCTGTATTTTTTACATGTGCAAACGACGACATATGACAAAGATATTGGTGGTTTATTCTTCTTCTCCCACAATTGTTGGTTGATGCAACTAACCAACCTATGACACAGGAGATACGACCCAAATTCCTAGAATCTGTTGATTTCCTCTCTTCTAAGTTCCACCGACGAGAAGACATTATTCAGCTTCTGTGCTCTATTATTTTTCTAGTTACTTAATTTTGGTCTCAGCCTCAAGCTTCTTTGTCACTACTCAATACTGCCATGTCATGGAATTCACAATAGAAGGTGAGCCATAAACGCAGGCTGGTCACCGACAATCTTTGCCAAATAACTCTCTGCCACCAATGAACATAAATATGATGGTTATTTCGGCAAATCCTGTTTTTTCTTTTTCTACCAAAGACTGCTTCCATTAATTGTGTCTTGTGAGAACAAAGAAAACCCACTATTGCCTGTTCTGTGTGTTGTTGTAAGCAGGAGACTCTTTTGAGTTGCAGGAGATGGGCTCGGTTTACAAAGAATGGGGTTTTCCCGGCCACTTTATGTAAAAGGGAAGATCAGGAATTCTAGTTTTTAGACATTTTGGTTCTATTTTTATCTTATAAATTAAAAGTGCCCAATTCTTAATTTGACAAAGTTAACTATATGTAGTCAAAATTAACTCTTATAATCTGATTATCCAATTCAATTTAGGTCGCATAACACTCATTAGAAAACCTAAAATGTCCCAACTGGTTTGTGGCCATTAACCAACATCTAAGGATTATCCGTCGTTGTGCAGTCCAGGAATCGGTTCACTCTAGGGGGTGTCAGTTGGATTGGATTTGGTCCAATTTGATCCAGTCCAGTGAGTTCAGTGTGAATCTATTATAAATGGATCAGGTCCAATCCAATTTAATGAATATTTTGAAGTATTTTGGACCGGTCTAATTCAATGTCAGGACCATTCAACCTGTTCAATTTTGTTTTAATTTAGATTAGTTTTAGCTCAAATCTGGCATATTGACATCTATGTTTTTATCTTCTATATATCAATGGACCATATATTAATTGGCTCAATCCAACCCAATAATCCAATATAAGTTCATTATGAATGAACTTGATCCAATTCAATATGTTTTATTGATCCATTCAATCTGTCTAAATTGATTTTAGTTCGGACGGGTCCAATCCAAAACTAGTCCATTAACACTCCTAGTCCAACCCAAGGACTGGAAGTATAATTAAGAATCATAAACAGTATTACAACAAAAGAAAAGAGACCAAGAATTATTACTCTCTTTCCACCAAAGAAGAAAACCAATGTGGAGGAAAGATAAATTACTTGACATGACAAGTACTTGTCGACATAGCTAATATCTAAGCTGCAGGTTCACTGAGTTCACTTAATGGATTGATCAACCAGAAGTAAAAATATTTGTTCAGTTGCAGAGTTAGCAGATAGACTGAGTTTACTTAATGGATTGGTTACCCAAAACTGAAAATATATTTGTCCAGTTGCAGAGTTCTGAGGAGATTTCATCAGAAAGTTTTGTTTTTTTCTCATGATCACAAGTTCATGGAAGGGTAAAGAGGTGTCAATTGGACTGGATTTGGTCCAATCCGATCCAATCCAATGTGAGTCCATTATAAATGGACCAGGTCTAATCCAGTCCAATGAATATTTTGGACCATTTTAGACTGGTCCAATTCAATGTTTGGACCATTCAATCTGTTCAATTTTGTTTTGATTTAGATTGGTCTCAATCCAAACCTAGTCCATTGACACCTATATTCTTATCTTATATCAATGGATCAGATATTGTCTTAATCCAATCCAATCCAATATAAATTTATTATAGACAAATCAGGTCTAATCCAATCTAATAAATATTTTGGATTGAATTAGTCCAATCTAATATGTCTTGTTGGTCTTTCCAATTCATCCAAATTAATTTTGGACTGGATGAATCCAATCCATTGACACCCTTAGTAAAAAGCACAATGCTATCGGAAATTCAAGATGTTGTATCAGATAGATTAGCTTGCGTAATATGCAACTCAGTGTATATCTATTCATGTTATCTGCCATTCTAGGGACCTTTTCATACAGAACTTATAACTGGAGATGGGGTTTAAATGTATGCTGGATTGGTCGAGCCAAAGGATCGACCAATTTGGGTCCAACTCTAAGACCTGGATTCCCCAGCATAGACCTGGCCCGAGCCGAGGGAAGTGCAACCCAACCTACACCCTAGTTCAACCCAACCTACACCCAACACATTGGCAATCTAAAGATGGACCCTTTCTCTTCATGCACTTGCATAAATACGTACCATCATATTCATACAATTATATATATATAGACATCATAGTATACTTTTGTAATAATCCACTTATGGGATTCATCCTCTCTCCTCCTTTAACATAAATATATGCATAAATTAATACATGTATAATTAACATGAATTGATTACAACTGTAATACATTGGGTTAGGACTGGATTCCAACCAAACTTTATATCGGGTTGGCATTTATATCATGCACAACAGACTAGGGGTGCAAGTCGGGCAGGTTGGGTTAGGTTAATGGTCAATCCGAGCCTGACCTTAAAATTTGGGCTTAAGGCCTAAGCTTGGCCAAGTCCGAGGTTAAACCTGATTTTCCCAACCTGAGCCCAGTCCACACTATAATTTGATGCACTCAGGTTGATCAATGAACCCACTCTAAAATCATAGATACATACATACATACATATATATATATATGTGTGTGTGTGTACATATTTGCATAAATACATATACATATATATGTAATGTATAAACACAAATATGTGTGTGTCTATATATATAACATATGTGTATGGTTGGGCCGGGTTTGGGCTACCTAAGGTCTAGGCTTCCAAAAAATAAAAAAGTCCAATTTCTTGGGGCCCAAGCCCTGCCCAAGGACCAAAAATCCAAGCCCAGAGCCCATGTAAAATTTCAGAGTGAACCGGTTCGGATTCGGGTTGGGCCTGCCCAAATTGCAGCCCTACAACATACACGAAGATCCCATGTGTTTCATCCCTCACAATCGTACCAAAACTATCCGACCAAAGACACCCTCATTTTACAAAATCAAATATATATCAAAAAAAAAAAGACAAGTTTGAAGAAAACTTGAACTACTGAGCAAGACGAAATCCTACACCTAATGACCAAGCATCAAGTATGGAACAATTACACATAACTGTTTTGTTTTGTTCCATTCTTTGGTAAGCCACATAGTTATTTTGTTGGGACCCATCATCCATGTTATACATTTTTAAGGATCTGTTTGGTTTGTGGGAATAATGGTTCAGAATTGAAATCAATATAGGTATTGGTTGCGAGCATCTAAACAACCAATTAGGGTT